GTGAAAATGGCAAGCAAAAGTGAGCTTTAAATTAAAATTGTATATTTAATAGATACATAAAACGCAATGTATTAATATAAACATTTTCGATTAACATTTTTTATACCTGGACCTAACGATGGTTGTTCCCGAACGCGATGCGAGAGAAAGGATCGCGCGGCACCAAAGGATGAGTCACTTTTATATTTGAAAAAAAAAAACTTTAATATTATCCACAATTAAAAAAACAACAATTTAACAAACTTTTCACAATAGTAATTATTTACAGAAAAATCGGAATCAAATCAGAGTGCGGAGTAAGCGGCGGTCGTCAACGTGGTTTTGCGGTTTATCTAATAAGCGGTTTGTGATATGTGTTTCACGGCGGAAAGACGATAAGATGAAAAGTTTCGTCGACGCCTCTTTTATCAACGCGGTGCTAGGGCCCGTCACGTCATCACGCACCAATTGATTTCGATCATTTCAAAAGTGGTGATGTGACGCAAGGGCGCCGAACGTTATTGGCTGCCCGGTTCTCGCGCGGAGTAGGCACGGGCCTGACATGCGCGAGCGGATCGATTATTTTATTGATTGGCCTTCCAGAGCCACGTGATCGCTTTGCGCATGTGTTTTGCGACATCGGCAGTTATATCTCCGTGCGGTACCCGTTGCGGGATTGTTATTTATTATGACATTTAATTGCCCTAATGATTTATGTACGTAGATATTTTTGATCTGGGTGAATTTTTTCTCTATTGTTTATTTTACCGCGACGCATGATAACAACAACTGAAATAGATTAAAATGGATAGGCTTACTCACTTGAAATTGCATGAAATAACTCGGATTTATTTGCAATCTCAAACAATGGTGTTAAATAAAGAGGAAGGTTTTTTTCAATTAATATCAAAACAATTTGGAAAGGGGAACACATTTCTTTTAAAACGGTGGCTAAAAATTAATAAAAACGCATGCAGATCACGTCAACAATTGATCCTTTTGATACGACGCAAAAAACAAGACATATTTCCAGCACACTTAAGGAACATCCGAACGAACATCTTTTTTTATAGTAAGAGCGTCAAAAATAAATTTAAATATTTAGTTGCACGGGATAAACGTAGATTATTGAATCTTGAGATCAAAGATTTGAATTGTTACTTACATTATTTAAAGTCTGAAATTAATAGAATTGAAAAGAGAATGTATAAAGTGTTACCGGAAAACTTAGTAGTCAATTTCTTGAATTAAACAGGCATAACATCAACATTTATAATAGCAAATATAAGAGCAAAGCAATAAAAAAATTTAATATACTAATAGAAAAACAATAGGATGATGGGGTTTCTCAATAATAGAAAAATCGATAGATCTAAATGGTTAGTTAATATTAGTAAAAAACAGAAATTAATTGCCATAAAATTCAAACTGAAACTCTGAAATCAACGAGATGTGGAGTGTCGTGGAGAAAGCCCTTAAAAAATTTTTATGTAAACATAATCACATTATCCCCCGATGGGTTCCCACCTTGACGAAGTCCCGCGGCTGATGGGGTGGGGGGGGGGGGTCCGGGGCGGAAGGATATCACCCGTTCAGGGGTGTGACCGACTAGCCTGGGCCCCCCTGGCTCGTCCGGCTGCTGGGGCGGGTGGAGGGGCTTGAGGGGGCGCGCGGGGGCCGCTCGCTCAGGAGATGGCAACCGTGTGCGCCGGACAAAGCGGAACCTTCCCAAGCTAAAATGTGTGCAACCGTGCTGAGGGCTGCATGGCGTAAGGGGAGTTACGTCGCTAACGGTGCCTCTCGGATACCGGGCGACCTTCGAGAGTATCGAGCCAAGCCCTGGGCATTCGCGGCTCTGCCCAGGTAAAACCGCGCGGCCGCGGTACTCGTGGGAACAATTATGAGTACTAACCAAAATGATAACTTTTCGGAAGTCCTACAGGGCGTGGCCACCTTAGGTGACGAACGACCTGAAGAAGAAAGCCCGAGCAATTCGGGGGCGGAGCCAAATAAGGCCCAGCCACCAAATGCTAGGGTTCGTTATAGCGGAGCGGCAAGGCGACGCTATAAAAAACAGAAGCAGATGGAGGCGAAGGGGAAAGCTGCAAAGCCCACCTCGGAACTGACATCTGTTTCGACAGTTACTCCAAGGACGGGGGAGCGAGCTTCTTCTGGGGCGGTAAAGCGACTCAGATCGGAGCATAGCACACCCAGCCCTGCCAGTAACACTCAGTTGGGCAAAAGGCCGAAAGTCGTAACTGACCAAAGGACTTTTGCCCAATTGACCTCCGGTCTTGTAAGGGTTGCCCTGGTTCCCTTGGCTTACCCTGACAAAAGACTGGAAAAAGACGAGGCATCGCTTCTGAAAGAAACGGTCAGGAGGCGTATCCTTTGCTTAGCAAGGGGTACCAAAGCGCCTACTTTCAGAGGCACCTCGGATAGGGATGGGGCAGTTGTCTTCAACTGCACAAATAGGGAAACTGAGGAGTGGCTTAGAAGCCTAACCTCAGAAATTAAGATCAATGGGATCGAACTGCGTGCACTGCGGGTCGATGAGCTCCCTAAGAGACACCGAATCGTAGTGCACGTAGAGGATCCCACAATACCTGTCAAGGAAGCGTTGGAGCTACTTGACAGGCAGAACGTAGGCATCCAGTCACCGGACTGGGTGATCGCGAAGGGTAGCGAAAGCAGGGACGCCACGAGCACCCACTTCGCTGCCCTTGTTGGGGATGGGGCTTTGAGGGCGTTAAGAGCTCTCAATTTTAAACCCTACTGTGGACTTGGGCAGGCAACGATCAGGTTGCCTGCTGGAGAAAGCAGCAAGGAAGGCGCAAAGGAGAAATCACCGGACCCGTCAGCATAAATATGGCGGACCGGATTCACTTTACGCAGATTAACTTGCATCACAGCAAATGCGCCTCGGCTGTACTAGCCAGGTGCGCAGCAGTGATGCACACAAGTAAATACATATTTTTAATACAGGAACCATGGATCATCAAGGGACATATAAAAGGACTTGGCAGCTGTGGAAAACTATTCTGGGCCGGAAACACGGACCGACCGAGAGCGTGCATTATAGCGAAAGGAATAGACGCCTGTCTACTGCCACAATTTAGCGATGGTGACTTTGTTGCCATCAGACTGAAAATAAAGACGACCGGTGGAATAGTCAGGGATCTAATTATAGGGTCAGTGTACATGCCCTACGATTTGGAAAACCTGCCCCCACATGAAAACGTGATTAAACTCACGACTTATGCAAGGCAGAAAAGGCTAGAAATACTCCTGGGGTGCGATGCCAACTCGCACCACCTGGTGTGGGGGAGCACCGACATAAATCCCAGGGGTGAAAGCCTATTTAACTTTGTGGTAGGTATGGAGCTACACATCCTGAATAGAGGAACAGAACCTACCTTCCTGGACTCTAGAAGACAGGAAGTGATAGATATAACCATATGCTCTGGCGGAATATTGGACCTGTTGAGGGGATGGAGGGTCTCTGATGAGCCCTCAGGATCAGACCACAGGCAGGTCCGTTTCACCATGGAGCAAGTACAGAGCCAAGGGTTATGGAAGAGAAATCCTAGGAAAACAAATTGGAGGGGGTACGAGAAAGACCTTAGGAGTCGACTCAAGGAAGCACCCACTAGATTCCACACAAAAGAAAATTTGGAAACAGCGGCAGACTACTTGAATGATGCCATTAAATACTCATACGAGATGAACTGCCCATTAGAGTCAAAGAATCCTTCAGCCAAAGCACCATGGTGGAGCAAAGAGCTGGCTAAGCTAAGGGCTGAGGGGAGAAGACTCTTTAATAGGGCCAGAAATGTAAATACACCGAGAACCTGGGAGGAGTACAGGAAATCTCAGAGAATTTACAAAAAGGCCATAGTAAAAGCTAAAAGGAAAGGATGGAGAAGTTTTTGCTCAAGTATAGAGAGTGCTCCTGAAGCATCTAGACTGAGTAGAATACTCTGCAAGGAAAACCAAACACAATGGGGCTGCCTTAAGCTTCCCAATGGAGGGTACACAGAAACTGCGGAAGAGACCCTACGGCACCTCATGGAAATCCATTTCCCAGGCTTTAGGGAGGACTCAGCAGACAACAACAACAGGCAGAGACCCATGACCTTGCACAAATCAAGGGCATGGGGACTGGCAGCTAAAGTGGTCTATCTGCAAGCAGTGGAATGGGCGGTCGGTTCCTTCGAGCCTTTAAAGGCTCCAGGACCTGATGGAATATACCCGATCCTGCTGCAGAAAGGGCTGAGCAGCTTGTTAGGCCCAATGACAAAAATCTACAGGGCAAATATTGCCCTCAGACATGTCCCCCAGAAGTGGAGAGAAACCAAGGTGGTTTTTATACCTAAACCTGGCAAGAACGGTCACGTCAGGGCAAAGGACTATAGACCAATTAGCCTTATGTCCTTCGTATTGAAGACCTTAGAGAGACTGGTGGACAGATTTCTCAAGTCCAACTCTCTAATACAACCTCTAGCCGACTCTCAGTACGCTTACAGGGAGGGCAGGTCTACCGAGACCGCCCTACATCACCTGATAGGCAAAGTTGAGAGTCAGCTGGAGGCAAAGGGCTATGCGATTGGAATCTTCCTGGACATCGAGGGCGCTTTCGATAGCACTTCACACGAGGTGGTAGGGGAGGCACTGATCAGACATGGAGTACAAGAACCACTGGTGGACTGGATAGAAGACATGCTAGTGGACAGATGCTTGACGGTGGAGTGCCAAGATATCTCCATCAGAGGAAAACCAACGAGAGGCTGCCCACAGGGGGAGTTTTATCTCCTCTGTTGTGGTGTCTAGTGATAGACGACCTGCTAAAGGAGCTACAGAAGAAAGGTTTCTCGACCTTTGGCTATGCTGATGACGTGGCCATTGTGGTTAGAGGACCATTTCTCAACACACTAAGGGACCAAGCAAAGGATACCTTAAGGATTGTGCAAAACTGGTGTGAGAACAGAGGTCTAACGGTTAATCCGAGCAAGACAAATATTATGGTCTTCACCAGAAAATATAAACCTGAACCCATAGAGACGTTAAAACTCTGGGGAAAGGAAATACCGTTTACAGACTCGGTGAAATACTTGGGACTGATTCTAGATCCTAAGCTGAGCTGGGGAAAACATCTCATAGAGCAAAGGAAAAAGTTCTATGCATCCATGTGGATGTGCAGAAGGGCAATGAGCAAGTCGTGGGGCATCAGCGCTGGTGCAGCATTATGGCTGTACAGGGCGGTCCTGCTGCCGCGGCTGCTATACGCGTCAGTCGTCTGGTGGACGAGAATAAATAAAGGGGAGGTGGAGAAACTACTTAGAAGCCTGCAAGGTAACTACCTAAGGGCTGCAGTAGGGGCCATGAGAACCACACCCACAGAGGCGCTTGAAATAGCACTCATTGTCAGTGTTACGCCAATAGGATTGGCTGCGATAAAATCAGCCAATACCACGGCATACCGCCTGAAATGTCAGGGTGAATGGAGAAACACAGGACTGGGACACACCAGGCTAGGTCTTCTCCAAAAGTACCCTATTGAGGGAAAACAAGACAGAACCACAAGAAAGTATCAACTGGTAAAACATTTTAAATTATGGATACCTGATAGAAACGAGTGGCTGAAACCGGGCGGGATCATGGACACAAAGGTGGACATGTGGTTCACGGACGGGTCAGGCATAAACAATTGCTTTGGAGCAGGAGTATATGGACCTGGGGAAAACCATAGGGAGAGTATTCCAATGGGAGGCGACTGCACGGTCTTTATGGCAGAGATGCTCGCCATCCTCAGATGTGCCGAACTGATCCTAACCAAGGGAACAAATTGCAGGAAAATATATATCTGCACGGACAGTAGGGCAGCCCTTCTGGCGTTGGCGGGTGCGACCACCGAGTCATACTTGGTATGGGACTGCATGCTGGCGCTGGAGGAGCTGTGCGGAAAGAACAAAGTAACGTTAGTCTGGGTACCCGGGCATCAGGGCATACCGGGAAACGAAATAGCAGACTCACTGGCTAGAGAAGGGGCTAGCAAAGCACCACATAGTCGGGAGGTGGGAGTGCTCTTTACGATGGGCAAGAACTTCATCAGAGACAGTATAAACAAACAACACAAGGCCAGGTGAGAAAATCTGAAATCCTGCCGACAGGCTAAATTTCTGATGAAAGACATAAATGGTAACAGAACCAAAGAACTACTTACACTGAATAGGCAGAAATTGAGGATGGGGATAGGACTGCTGACAGGACATTCACCAATACTCAAAGCCCACCTATTCAATATCAGACTCGCAGACAGGAAGGAGTGTCGACTATGCGGGGAGGAAAAAGAGGACAGCATACATATTCTGTGCCAATGTCCGGCTCTGGCTAGAAAGAGATTCAGGATCTGGGGACAAAGTTTTCTTAAATCCTAAGAATTAGACAAAACAAGGGTGGTGGAACTCATAAGCCTAGTGGAGAACTCTGGGCTGAGTACACATCACCCAGTTTAAAGACAAGAGTGAGGAGACACAATGGATCTCGCCAGATCTAGGTGCCGTCGGGGGCCAAGTCATGGAACCACTCACTTATTATTTACTACTACTACTACTACTAATCACATTAACCATAATGATAGATACATTTTAAATTGTTTCTCTAATTGCACAAAATTTCTACGTGAGAATGACGATCTATTGGTTACGAGAGCTGATAAAGAACAAGTTACTGTGATTATGGATAAAACTGACTATATTGAGAAAATGAACGTGTTACTTAGCGATGAGTCCACGTACAAAACACTGAAAAAAGATCAGACTAAACAAATTAACAATAAGATTAATTCTCTCGTTAAATCGTGGCGTGACAATGATTTAATCGAAGAGAGTCGACGTACAAATTTCCAAGAAACTTAAGTAGAGATTTTCCACGTTGTTACGGGCTTCTGAAAATGCATAGAACTAATTTTCCTCTAAGAATTGTTATCTCAACTTTAGGCAGTCCTCTAGATAATTTGGCTGATTACATACATGGCATTCTGGTCAAATCAACACAGAAATCAAAATCATACTTTAGAGATGGTTGGTCTTTCGCTAAAGTTATCGAAAATAGAACGATCAATGATGACGAGATACTGATATCCTTAGATATCACTTCCTTATTCACTAACATTCCTAGTGAATTGGTGTTCAAGGCGATTGAAAAACGTTGAACGGAAATAACCAGTAATACTAAATTTAACTTACAATAATTTCTATATGCAATTAGAGTAATCTTAGAATTAACGAGTTTTAAATTCAATGATAAGTTTTTGGCAGCCCGATTAGATGGGATCTCCGCTTTCTCCGATTTTAGCGGATTTAGTACTTGAGGACTTAGAATCCTATTGCCTAAACATGTTGGATTTCACAATTCCTCTATATTATAGATATGTAGACGACATCATTGCTATTATTCCGGAAGACAAGATTGAACAGGTTTTCACGAGTTTCAATAATTACCACACTCGTTTAAATTTCACATACGAACTAGAAAACAATGGGTCATTTTTTTCTACATAGTGACGATAAATTATAAACATAATGATTATTTTGATTAATATTCCAGTATTACCTTCAGTCATATATATGAATTAACGAGAATTCATGTAAATTTTTTAAGATGTAAACGTCTCTAGTTTTACATTTAATATTATTTAGAACTATTTAATTTATTTTTCATTATCTTTGTTTTTCTGACACAGTTAATACGTGACACTATTTTTAAATGTGTTCTGAGTTCTAAAACTAAAAAAAATAATAGAATATTCATAATTTCATAATCTAAATAAACAGAACTTATATATTATAATTAATATGTATTTCTTTAAAAGTACGTTTTTTAAAAGTCTTTAAAAGTTTACGTTTAATATAAATTTCAAAAATTGTATACAAAAGATATTTTAATAAATATATAAGTACTTTATGCAGAAATAATAATTTTCTCCAACAAGTTATTTTTATAAAATCAAATTGAATACTTAAAACGTCGCTAGTGGTATTTAAAATAGGAACGATATATTTAATTCGACCCAAACTAGCCAAGAAATTTTTATTTTATTTCCACAACGTTTCGACCATCTGTTTTTGGTCCTTTTCAAGTGAAAAACTAGAATGGTACAATTAATTAAAATTAATAAACATTTTTGATGTTAAACGCAAGAATTAAAAATTTTTTACATACTTCCTTGATAAAAGCGCAGTTAGTTGACACTGTTGTCATGATTATTAAACAATATGATTATCGGAATTGTATATTATAGATATATATATATTATGTATATTATAGATCAGTGCTCGGAATTAGTTGCTCTTTTCGAGCCGATTTTGCGAGCGACGGGGCGGGTTCCCCCACTACCGTCGAGACTCGACGGCGGAGTCGTCGTCACTCCGGGCAACGCTATATCTCAGGAGCGTCGCTAAACATATTAAGTGGTGCCTTCCGCCAAATCGTCATTATTATTACATTATTTATATTTTTGTTAAATAATAACTGAATATTAACATTTTTATTATTAATGTAATTATAAATGTAATCTATATTGTTCATAGATTCATGTATATATATTGTATACGTATATATGTTATAGATTACATTTATAATTATATTAATAATAGAAATAATATAAATATTAAAAATAATATTTAATAATTATAATCTTACACAACAATAGTTTTCTACATCACCCGTGAGGTACTATTGCAGATGCGTTTTTTTCATAGTGGTTTCCCCAGTAGGCCTATTCCACTGAAAATAATAAAAAGTGCGGTGGCTTGGCAGAAAAACAATATTATGAGAAAATAGAAAGAAAATAATTAAAAAATAAGAATTTTATTTAGATTTTCTGGGTCGTTTACACGATTCTACTAGAGATGAGATATCTACAAAAATTTTAGAAGAATTAATTCGCATCAGCGAGGATAATGATGCGTCGCTTAAGAAGGAACGTTTTTCAGTTTTAATTATTTTCATTTTGGAAAAAGGACATTCGCATAAATATGTGGACCCAAACATGGAGAAAATTCGAAGACCGAAATTTCTAAGATGTGGATAATATGACACATCTAATAATTTGAAGAATTCGATTCCTTTTTCTATAATCGCGCCTTTAAAGAAAGATCACACTGCAAATCGCAAAGTTCTGCCTGAAATTCTAGGCTTTGTTCCTCGATTTGCACTGTGAGAGGATTCTCGAAAAGTATTAAATCTTTTCGTAGCATTTCAAGATCTCTGAAACGCGTATCAAATTGATCGATTAAGGATTGGATAATATACATGTGGTTTAAAAAATTACAATTTTTGCCGTGTTCTTCAAAGAGAATCTGGCATGAAGGGAAAAAATGCAAATTATTATTTTGTAAATAATTTTTAAATAATAGTAGTTTCCTGCGAAAAGAATCGACATGACTAACTAATTGTGAAATAATTTGATCGGTCTTTTGCAGCTTTAAATTTAAAATATTCAAGTAGTTTGTCATGTCGGTTATTAGAGCAAGTTTGCAAAGCGAGTTACAATCTTCGAAAAAAAATTTAAATTCTTCATATTTTGCTGAACATTGTTCTTGTAAAAAAAGGAAGATCTCTTTTCTCAATGCAAAGAACTTTTCTAAACATTTTCCTGCACTAAGCCACCGAACTTCGCAATGCAGAGGCACATCTGTATATGTTGCGTTATGTTCCTCGAGAAAGAGTTGAAATTTCCGATGAGATAGGAATTTATGACCGCCTTTAATTGTATTAACAATTTTTGTGACGGTTTGCATGACATTGCATAATTTCACAACTTTCCCACATAACGCTTCTTGATGTATAATACAATGTATAACAGGGATATTTAAATTTTGCTGCTTTAATTGACCGAAGAATCCATTTTTGGAACCTATCATTGCTTTTGCGCCATCCGTTACGATAGCTGAACATTTAGAAAAATCTATATTAAATTTCTCAAGGGTTTGGCTAACAGCTTTGAAAATATCAACGCCTGTCGTTCTATTATGTAATGAGATAAAATCTAAGAGCTCCTCAACACATGAAAAATCGTTTTGCACGACTCAAACAAAAATGCTCAATTGACTTATATGCCGATTATCGGTACTCTCATCAAGGCATAATGAAAAATAGCAACAAGATTTTAATAAAAATTTTAATTTTTGCTCTAAAAAAGAAGCTATATCTTTTACGCGGGATTTTACTGTTTTATCACTTAAAGGAATGGCAGCAGCTTCCTCAAGAGTCAAAGAATTTCCAAACGACTCTACTGCTGCGATGAGGCATTCCTTTATAAATTTTCCTTCGCTAAACGATTTCGAATTTTTTGCGATTAAATTTGAAATCGCATACGACGCTGTCACAGCTTTTACTGAAGATGTAGTATTTTCCGTATAATCCTTGGAACTACAACCTTCTTGATAAACTAATTTTAAACCTTCAATTAAATTATGTTTCTTCTCGTCCACATATTGCGAATATTCATTAAAGTGTTTAACTTTGTAATGTCTCTGAAGATTAAATTTTTTTATAATATTTGGTTGATAACCACACAGAAGACAGGTGGTTTTATTACAAATGGAAGCGAAAAACATTTCCTTCCATGTCTTATCAAAATTTTGCACATACCTTTGCTGACTTTGCTCCATTCTTGTAATAAAAATTGTCGAGGCCCAGAAAAAATCCAGAGGAAATCTTGTCTTTTAAATCGCCCTTTAAATGTGACGTCCACGGAAGCGTCTCGCAGAGTGAGACTCGCTGATTGTTGAAAAACAAATGAAGACAAACAATTATCTCTTTATTTGTATTCATCTGCGTAAATGATATAGCTTCTTTTTTAGAGCAAAAATTAAAATTTTATTAAAATCTTGTTGCTATTTTTCATTATGCCTTGATGAGAGCACCGATAATCGGCATATAAGTCAATTGAGCATTTTTGTTCGAGTCGTGCAAAACGATTTTTCATGTGTCGAGGAGCTCTTAGATTTTATCTCATTACATAATAGAACGACAGGCGTTGATATTTTCAAAGCTGTTAGCCAAACCCTTGAGAAATTTAATATAGATTTTTCTAAATGTTCAGCTATCGTAATGGATGGCGCAAAAGCAATGATAGGTTCCAAAAATGGATTCTTCGGCCAATTAAAGCAGCGAAATTTAAATATCCCTGTTATACATTGTATTATACATCAAGAAGCGTTATGTGGGAAAGTTGTGAAATTATGCAATGCCATGCAAACCGTCACAAAAATTGTTAATACAATTAAAGGCGGTCATAAATTCCTATCTCATCGGAAATTTCAACTCTTTCTCGAGGAACATAACGCAACATATACAGATGCGCCTCTGCATTGCGAAGTTCGGTGGCTTAGTGCAGGAAAATGTTTAGAAAAGTTCTTTGCATTGAGAA